CTCTAATAATTCTATTTCTTTGTTTTCACCTGTTACTATCCTATTTTATTTATTTTTTGTTTTTTCCTACTTTACTTTTTTGAAATATATTTTTAACGTATTACGTATGGAAGAAATTAATAATAATTTGAATTTTGTTAAGTTGAAAGATTATAAAACACTTTTTAATTGAAAGTTTCTAAAGAATCTTTAACACTATCCGTGACAGCCTATTTTCATTTTTCTATTATATGGGGGGGCTTTCTGGCCCCTACTTTTTTAATATCTAATATTTTTACATGCTGCTAGTGAGAGAACCTGTTGTTAAAATATTTGAATCCCACCATTGCATGCAGGGTTTGAAAAAGTTATCCAACTGATGTCAACATTAGAGAGAGAGAAAAACTGTTTTAAAGAATGGCAGAGATTCCAGTACAGAATTAAGACGAAATGTTATTTGTTAATTTTCAGAAAAATGAAATATACAAGTAAAGCTTAACTTGAAAGGCCAAACAAATTTTGAACTATATGTACTTTCTTGACATAAAAACATACTTGTTAATTCAGAATAGTAGGAGTATGCCAAGAATGTTGAAAATATATTTATTTATTAGTACAAAAGGCCATCAAAAATGACGGGAAACCACTGTTGAATGATTAATGAAAATTACAGAAGTTAACTAATATGAATTTGTCTGTACTTCCAAAATGCACCTACTCTTCATATATTTCAGTCTCAAAGTAATTCTTTAATCACCACATTTTTAGTAAAAACTGAATGTTATCATAAACAAAAGTATGTGCAACTCTGAAAAAGCCTTAAATAGCACTCTTGAGCCTTTTCACTGTATTCTAAGGCAGGAAGTAGAAAACATGATGTAGACAGTCCGACACAAATTTGCAACTCTGTCGACTATACAAAGGATAAGAGAGATTTGGTTAGTAATAAACGTTTTATTTTTATTTATGATTTAATGCCAAGTAGGTAATATACATGTTAAAACACCAAATGTATATTTATTAATTAACATTTATTCACCACTTAAAACTTTTTAAACACTGACTCTATAACGTTAGTAATGGCAGGTCTATTTGTAGTCTAATTTAATACATAAATGTAATGTAAGGCTTGGTTGAAACACTATTTAGTAAATTTTATTTTGCTTTTGGTTACAACTCAATGTCATAAACTTCTGAATTAAACTATTTTGTTGTTAATCAGCAAGGTTATCAAAAAAAAAAATATATATATATATATAATGTTGAGCATTACCAAAAAAGAGGCATGAAAGCGTTCTCAGAGTGAGAAAGGGAATAAAACCTTTATAGTCAGTGACTGAGTTCATTATCAGTACAATCAGTAAGCTCCAAATGACAACTTGAAAATTTTTTAAATATTTATACAGAGTGTTAGTCACACTTTATAAGAACAATGCTACAGGTCTTCTGCTTCCTTTTCAACCACTTCCTTCACCATCAGTTGTGCTCAGTTTAAAGGTTTAAATTATGCATTATTCCCCAATCCTGCAATTCTCATCATAATTAGTTTATGCAAAGAATAATAAAGTTAACTTTGACCACACATCTCGACAAACTTTTCACTGCTCTTCTTATGCATATGACCATTGAATTTCCAATGCTACATTTAGGCAATAAAGTCTACAGAAATGTAACAGAAGATTTGATAAACATGTTATAAGACAGGGCTTCCACATTTACAAATTCTTAACCACCCTTCTAATGAAAATATTCATTGATTTTCAAGAGTGGTAAAATACTGTGAATTTTTGGTTTGTAACAAATCGAATTCCTGTTTGAAATATTGTTAATGGTACCACGAGATATGCCCAGTTTCGTCACACTGACTGTTGAGGATGTATGATTTTCTTTCATAACATAGCCTTTGCTTTGTAGATGAAGATGTTGTTCCTGATTGGCCTAAGGTGTAGTTTTGAAACATATTAGTCTAAAATGCTCTACTTTCAAGTTTTCTACTTCCACAAAGAAGATTAAAGACCCATCAGTTTCCAACTTCAACAAGAATTATATAATATCATAAGAAAGCCTACAAAATGATATATACTTTCTTTAGACATCTTTAGCGATAAGTGTGTGTGTGTGTGTGTGTGTGTGTGTGTGTGTGTGTGTGTGTGTGTGTGTGTGTGTAGTAGTAGTATATATTAGTTAGTTCTTTTACCTTTTACCAGAGTAGTACGTATAAATTAAGTGTATTAATTTATTTACGTTACGTTACCTTTC